GAAATTGGTGAGGAAGTAACTATATCTTGTAAGGAACCATTTTTCTGCTGGAAATTTGCTTGAAATCTTACTCACTGAACTACGCAAACCATAGATTGTTCCTATGACTTGGATCAGGTAGCTCGACGAAGACACTTGAAGGAGTACTATGGAATTGATTGCACTTGTCCACATTGCATGATGGGTGCAGAACATGGGAAGAAGTCAGATACACAAATTCAAAGAATTGAGAAGCTGTATCAGCTCTCAAAAGAGTCAAACCTTCCGCTCAGTGAAATTGAGGAGTTTATCAATCTTAGTGAGGAAGTAGGTGGATTATATTTTCTTTATTGTGATAAAAGGAAACAAAAAAAAACACATCTTGGAGAAAATTTGCACATTCTAACTGATAATTATAATAAAAATTAAACAGGAAACACTGCCCAAGTTCATTGCAATAGCACACTTGAATGCTGCCAAATTTTATAATTCAAAAAAGGAAATGCACAAAGTCAGAGAGCATGCAGAGAAAGCAAAAGTGATGTCAGAAATGAGCAATGAATTCAAAAGGCTCAGTCATGCTGTCAATGATTTAGAAACACTTCTTAGAGATCCTGAAAAGCATAGCTCCTATGGAATCTGAAATAAACAAAATGAATATATAAATAGAGCCCCCCCACCACAAAAAAGAGTTCCCCCTACCTTCCAAAATATAAATATATAGAAAAACAGAAAAATAAAAACCAGTGTTGATCAGTAAACAACTATAAAAAAATGGGTTTGGTTAAAGAAATCATGGTTATTATAGAAACTAGTTTTAGGGTTTTAAGAAATCTGTGTTCCACAAGAATTTTCATGAAACAGCTGTACTAGTTGTAGTATGCAGTTATATTATCCATTTATTTATGAGATCCTTCATAGTTTGAGTAGCATATAAGGAGGAAAGTAACAAGCATCACAACTTCTGCTCTCAACAAGAGAGAGTGATCTTGAGCCATTGTGCTCTTAAGCAAAGGTTAAGGAGGAGGGGAAATACACTTTGAATAGTCACATATGTCATCAGTATCATCTACAAAATTCCCATTCACTGTCTGTACATAAATCAATCATTTTAAACACATAAAACATATAAAACATCACTTATATAAAAATTCTATTCAAATAGTCTGCTGAATCCACATTGATCTAGGTTTGATAAGACATTTCCTATTACAGAAAAACACGCCAAGGATATCACCTTGAGAGCTGCTAGTATAGAACATGGAGGGGTGTCATTGAAATTTTTATTTCATATCATCACTTCATAGATAAGTAGCACTGGAATATTTGGGTAATTTCGGGGCTACAGAAGCATCCAACTCCGAGGGTGAAGAATTGACCCAGAAACCGCATTAATTGTGGCTATTCTCCTTATCCAAGGATCTTGTGTACAAGTATGACAAAGAAGCCTCCACCTCCAACCCTGAGGCATTCAATGCACCATGGTTTTTACAAATCAGCTTGTTTAAAAATCCTGATGCAGAGACACTGGTGACAAATGAGTGACATGTGATGAAGCAGTGAGTTATACCTATCATGCACAAATTTCATGAGTAGCATTTGTGTCACAGTGATGAAACCATTTCATGTGTATGCTTTGACAATTTTGGTTGATTGGATTCAGAAACTTGCATCTACCAGTGTTATTTTTTGTGCTTTCTCCAATGGTGAAACAGTTACAATACAATGGATGACTTCCGTTGAAATCTGCGGGTCTCCCAGTTTGATTTAGAGCCAAGAAAGCTAAATTTCCCTGCAGAAATATAGACTTTTGGGTCTAAATTGAAAACTTAAACTGTGAGGGTCCCAGATCACCGGAAGTCCTCCAATAAAGCATCTGCAGATATTTTGTATGGTATTTTTTTTCTGATACTTAAAAAATTTATTTTGTATTGTATCCACATCAGATACAATACAGTTGTATTTTATCATAAAACTACAACATATTTTTTTGGCCATTTTAGACTGTTTTACAAAGAAAAAAAATGAAAAATGCACAAAGATACAGTATTTTACAGTCTCCTCCCAGATGTTTATAGCCATCTGCTTTGAGCTCCACAGCGGGAACCCAAAAACATCAAGTCACAAGATTTTGTGGAATGGTGGAAAATGGGTTTCAAAGAATGAATATGGAAAAATCATAATAGAAAACAAGATTTTAAAATTTGTGAAAAAGATAAAATAAAATCAACTTTTTTTGAAAACTTTAATTTTTTGTTTGAGTGAAAAGTGAACACACAGAGGGCAAGTTTGGAACATGAAAAGAATGATGATAAATGAAAAATATTGATCCCAAAAAAGTTTGAGCATGGTGGGTGGACACCCTGTAGTCAAAATTAGTAGATTGCAGTACCAGAATGCCACATTTCTTGATGAAGGACCCCCTAGGCACCATTTGTAAACCACCAAGTAGTCATTTTTTTTTCCAAATTTTCACTTCTTATTATTCATTTCAGATCTCATACTATCACTTTGCACATTTCATCTTTCCCTGAAAGAAATATTAGAGCTGTCAGTTTTTGTGATTTTCTCCTTTTCACTTTTTACAAATTTTGTAATCTTGTTTATCATTATTATTTTTTCATATTCATTCTTTGAGACCCATTTTCCACCATTCCACCAACTATTGTGACTTGAGATTTTTGGGCTCCCGGTGTGGAGCTCAAAAAAGATGGCTATAAACATCTGGGAGGATACTGTACTTTTTGTATTGGGCTGTATTTGTGACCAGATAAAAGTATTTTGATAAATTTGTATTCTATCTGTTTTTCAATACAATACAGATACAATGTATTTGGAGGAAAACCAATACAGATACAGGTATTTTATTGGTTTCATTGTTGCTTTCTCTGATGTCACTCTGGACAATCATGAACACCTTGTGTAAAGCTGGCTGGCTTTTGTGTCTTCCATGCCTTCTCCTTGACTTCCACCGCTTTGTGTCAAAATGAAGGAGACTCACAGGAGTACATACTGTAACCCTTGCTGATACACAGAGAAAATGGTCCACAAGGCACAAGATGGCCTCGGCTGGGAGAGACACTTTGAACCAACTATGACTTTGAAAAGTCCGTTATCACTTCTCACCGTCATACCACTGAGTTATTAAATCTAAGTTGGCAATTGCAAGAAGAAATGAAAGAAGTAACTTTGCTTGAGTAAATCTACCTATTGTTAACATGCAGTACAGCTCCAAAAGTTTGTATCAACGCCCCACAAAATTGTGTACATAAGAAAGACAAAGGTATCATTATGGCTGGTTGGTATTATTTTTAATTCTCCGGCGACCGTCCCAGACCAAGTCGATCAGTTCGCCTTCTTGATTGACGTGCGTTAAGACGGCCACCCGATCGTTGGTTCCTTCGACCACTGTGATCGACTTCAAATAATACGTTCGACGTTGACGAGTTTCCAATAATTTGGGCCGTGTTTTCATGACTAGTGGCTCGGCTGCAAAGGTGTGTTCAACTTCATCCAAGTAAGACTGCTTGAGTACCGAGTCTGCAAAAACGGTGATCGAATAACCGAGTGCCACAACAACTGCTCCTGATTTCGCTACTTGACTGGGGTCGGTGGTATTGTTAAATCCCCAGACATATCTTCTTGTCCAGTTGTCAGCGCCGACGATTCGCGCGGCTTTTCCCAGCAGGCCAACAAGAGCCAGAGGGTCCTTGAGTGTGTGGGGATGAATTCGTGGCTGAAGTTGAAACCAAGAGTCCCAATGATGGATAGTCGTGAATTGCAATCCAGCCTATGTTCCAAAAGAATTAAGCAGAAGCATAAGAATCAGAAAAAGGAGAGGAATTTCTTTTGAAAAAAAAAGGGACATGCCTGGAAGATACCGTGGCCTTCGTCACGAATGTCAAGTTGGTGGAGGGTGGGTTCAGCCTTGAATGTCGCATTGGACGTGAGCTTGAGGGCACATTTTGTAACCATGGCATCGCCTGATGATGTTTAGGTTAATTAGTTAAAATTATCTTTTCAGCATTTCCAGTAAAAAGAGATGGTGAAAAAATCTAAACAAACCTCCGAACTCATGACCGAATTCCTCAAAACAACCCTCAAATGCCCCGGGCGCGTTCATCTTCTGAATTAGCCCTCGCGATAGGAAAATCCCAGCACCGCCGAAAGCTATCCTGCCGAAATGACTATTAGCTTTTCGAGATTCGCTCGAGGCACCGATCAAATGAGGTTCGAGTGGGTTATATTTCGATAGAACCCGATTCAGGGAATCGAGTGACAAAAAGAACGTGTCATCATCCCTGTTGTCTCCAGCCGATTATTAAGGTCAGCTTATGATTTTCATATTTTATGATTGTGACAAATTAATTGTGAGCACTGACGCGAGCGTAAACCAATCGGTACGATGATGGCCTTCCGACTCTCTCTTGATAGCCTCAAGCCACATGTGTTTTACTAATTTCATGTATCTCCATTCGTAGCGTTTCGCTGCAACTGATTTGATCCTCAATGGAAACCCAAGTGCCTTGCCGATCATCTCCATCTCCCAGTTTGTGTCGTAATTGTTTTCATTGGGAGATATAAGGACCATGACGGTTTCGATTTCGACGGTCTTTGTGCTGTTAAGCCAATCATACCAGCGCGGAAGGTACTTGAGGGTACGAGATTGTGAGGTAGCGAACCCAAACATCATCCCCAACTTCTGGGTGGCGATAGGGCGACAACCTCGTTGCGAGCCACCAAGTGACGGAATAAATGATTTCACCGGGCCGAATTCCGGGGGATCAGTGTCAATGGCTGGCACCTCGTACACTGGACAAGGCTCCTCCGGCTCCAAATTGTTCCGAAATCTACGTGGCCAGCTGAGTGGGATATCTTTGTCTCTGGGACCCCAAGCCATAAATCCAATGCCACTCAGCTGAGGTTCACTGGGGTCTCGGATCTCATCATGAAGACTGCTTTGAGGCTTGTCAGGCATAAATGTTGTCCGGTTAAGAGAATCCTGGTCATCATAGTCCGTATACGAGGGTGTGAGGATGAAAGTAGGTCGGCGAGTGATGGTCAGGCCATGTTGTTGCGAAATTGTTGGAGGGCAGAAGTCTTGGTCATTCAAAGGCTTGAGTATCTCCTCAGGCGGTGGTTGGCAATTCTCTTCGGTGTAGGGGTAAAGAGACTTTCTATCCGGAAATCCGAAAACCGATCGATAGCTGAGCAAGACACTTGAGCGTGAGGGGCCCGTTGTTCGAAGGATGATGAAGAATAATGTCCCGAGTGACACCAAGCCGATTAATGTTCGTTGACGTGTCGACCACATCTGGATATTCTTATCCGCCCAAGATATTAGTCGAGCTTTCGGAGCAAGCTTGCGGTTATTATTCAAGCGGAACGTCGCAGGAGGAGTGGATATGAAGGTGTGCGTTGGGCTGGCAGCAGAGTCTGATGAATTCTGGAGAATATTATAATACTCACCACAAGTTGACACCTGGGGCAAGGATAAGAATCTAGCTTGCGAAATTAGGAGAGTCGAGGCAAGCTTTAGTAGGTCGGAGCTCGGGACAACAAGTATTTATTTAAATTATAGGTACATATTTATGTATGCATGCCTTTGCCTCTGAGAAGGTAATTTGTTATACCTGGGACTGCTCTTTTCAAATGTGACTGGGAAACCAGACGTGTTATGTATATCAACCCAACTTTCGCAATCGCGCTGAACTCCAGGTGACTGAAGATCAGATCAACGCGGAGAACTTGAGAAACTTGAAAAGGTTTGGATGCGGACCCTTGACAATGGGCAGATATTCGCGTGGAATTGATCATTATGATGATAGAGATGACGGGACCACAAATCCATTTCGAATTCGCCTCAGGCTCCTTAAGGTCACAAAAGACTTCGTAGAATTCCTTCGATTCCTACATGCGTAATAGTGAGCTCATTGATAGGTCTCCGATCCGGCCCTCCGCCGAGTCTGGCTCATCCGCAAACCCGGAGTACCCGGCCACAGGCCCGGATACCCGCGGGTGACCAAGTGAGAAAGAGATGAGCCTGAGCAACAAAAGGACTCAGCGGTCAAAATACAAATTTTGTCAATTGACAGCTTTCACTCAAGATAGCACTTGATTCTGCTATGTACGCGAAAATAAATGCCGTTTAAACGGCATCCAGGGCATGATTTACCACTTGCCAGTTGGATGGCCATTGCCATAGAGTGAGCAAAGATTCTAGCTGTTGGAATAGGGGTGCATTCTGCAATTTCTTGAAGTTGCAATCAGCCAAACTACCGTCACAATCTAAAAATGCTGCTTACCATGCCAAAGACTCGTCGACCAGTGCCATTGGCCGACTTTTCATCAACTTGGGCGTACGCCGGCCGGCACCGGCGTCGGGGCCTGGGGCCTACATTGCTCGGAGATTGGTCCGGCAGCCATGACCCAATTGGACCGACACACTGCAGGCCTGGCCGCATTTCTGGAATGTATGATTTTATGTCGAATTCACGCCTGAACTTTCGATGAGAAATCCCCAACTCCAGTTGATTTGTACAAAGAGACTTCCTGTGTCAAGCACCTGCTGGAGGGACATCTGGATTCCAGGCGGGCCGGAAGGACACTCCATACTCTTCTACTCAAAGCGCGATACACACTGGTGACTGCCCACAAAAAGCTGCTCGGTTCCAGCTCTTGAGACTTGTGATACCAATACCATCCAATCGAGCCTGGACTATAATATCATTGCCAACGTTCACCCACAGGAAACAGTCTTCTGCGATGTTTCTTAAAACTCTGGAGAACGACGCTCAACAGACGCTCAGCGGCCAGCTCGGCTAGTCTGATGCTAAATGAGCTGGGCCAGTTCTGGATTAACTAGAGGCTTTACGGTCGAGCCGCGCGCTATGGTCACCAAGGTAAGCGGCATTCTGACCGAATTGATGCCCGCCTACCATTCAAAGAGGTCTTTTTTCTCCTTTCCAGTCATTCATTCTCAGTAGTCTATTGCATCTCCATCTAACTGCTATGTAAAGGCTTGGCTTTTGTCTTCTCACATTCCACTTTGTATTTTTCTTCCATCGCAGGCCAGCAAATCCACTATTTCTTACCGGACTGTTTTCTTAAAGACATTCACAACTTACTTTCGTTCATCATTCAGTTCCCCAAGATCCTTTACCTTCCGACACCTTATAAAATCTTCTCGTCCACGTCTTTGGACAGCTGCATCGCTATTCCCAAGTAGTAGAATGGCTCTTGCACTCGTTTTGTTGTTTGGAATTCTCCATATTCTCATTTTTCTACCACAATGCATGTGCCACCATCAAGCCATGACCACCCGCTCCTTAAGCCAACCTCAACTCAGCTCACACAGCGCGGCTCAAAAACTCATCCTCACCAAAGAACCGAATGCACTCGCCACATCAACTACCAAATTCGGGCCCAGTACATTCCACTCCAGGCGCCAGACAGCAAGAAATCTTTCCAATCGCCACCGCCGTATCGCGCGTCGAGGAATATTTCCAGATATTTCAAACTTTGCCTCTAATACATTTGGCGGCTTCTTTGGAAACTCGAACAATGGCCTCGCCCCACAGTCTGGGCCGGCCACGCAAAACTCCCGTCAAGTCACATACCCTCAAGACTCCCAACCTTTTCCATCGGGTGATTCGAGGGCTTTGATGAATGGCCAACCCAACGCCCCTTTGCCTCATCCCACGCAACCTCCCAACTCAGCTGGCGGCTCCTCAAAATCCCCATCACCTTCAACAACAACAACCACATCATTAAAGTCCCAAGCTACGGCTGTGAGCCATCACTCGCCCTCCAGCGCCACTGAGGCAAGCACAACTTCTGCTGCCTCTGCCGCACCCACAGATGAACCAGCTCCTCGTTCTGCCCTCGAGCGATTCGCGGCATTATACAAGCCTACAAACCGCTTTGAACCGCTTGCTGTTCTACTCACAATTGTCTTTAGTGAGTGGCCATTTTACTATCACCCGCTGACCGTATTCGTGACTAATATCAACGGACTGAAACTTCGATAATCATAGTTTTGGCATTCTTGGTGACGCTCATGTCGATTTTGAAATGTGTGGCTCACAAGAAACGGTTTGCCAACAAGAAAGATTACCCCACTGGATTTCCGTGGGTTGACCCTGCCGGAAGTAAGACAAACAGAACTAGTAGTCGACAAGGTCTGGTTGCCACTAAGAGCTACATGTCGAATCGAAATTCGATGACCTCGAGCGTCTACTTTTCCAGCGGCCGGCAGCTTGGTCCGGAAGGCGAATTGACCCCACACCAGGCCGAGTATCAACTCAACGAGCTTGGATCGGACGTTTATGCTAACTATGCCTGGGCGGCGACGGAAATGGACCTGGAAAAAAACCTGTCCAGCCCCTCTGATGAAGGACCGTCATCGGCGACAACAGAAGAAGGCAATCACACACCCAATCAACAACATGACCGATGGCACACACAATCTTTGGATGACGACCCCCGATTTACCCGAGGGGGTAAAGGCGAGCTCCTGGAAGATTCAAAAGTTTTCAAATTAGATCATCCGTGATCAACTCTGTCAAACGGTACGAATCAAAGCTCAACACGTCCTGGCGCTTTCAAGAACTGCCTACCCCCACTCATCATCCTGTCACTCCCTTTGAGGAACCTCTTGTCAATATAACCCGACACAGTCCGATTACTTTTTCCCCGTTGCTTTTTACGGCTGACATACACACATGGCATTACGCCCAAATATACCCTCAATTATAATAGTAGTGTACAGAAGGAGCCATTTGTTTGCGCAAGTCCTTGGTATCAGTGTGGAACCCTTCATTTTTTTTCCTCTCACTTACATCGCATATTGTATTTTTTATTTATATTTCTCCGCTTGATTAGAGGCTATTACTTTTCAAACTTCTCTGGATATCATTTTTTTACTGCTTCGCGAGCTTGCAATTTTAAATTTGAAAACAAGAGCCTGTAGGACCGGCTCAGTGGGCAACCCAACTGAACCGCCATACAAAAGCACCGCTCTCAGCCAAACAAGATACTTTAAACCACTGGAAACCCGTCTCATTGAGAAAGCCGACTCAGTGGCAGTGCAGCGTTCAGACTTTCCGCTTTCAAGAAATAGTTCTCACGCGGGTTTGGAATAAAAAATTGGGAGAAGGGAGAATGATACCAAGAGGATAGATTGCTTACATCTTCTTCTAGTTTGTTATATATAATTTTGTCTGATTCTAGGATTCCTTTGGCAAATTGTGATGCCAAAAAAATACACAGAAAGGATTTTACAACTGGATGTGAAGGTTAGTGCAGACAAAAGTTCATCTGGCTTACCACACTCATTTCCATCTATTACTCACCTGCTGATATTATAATGTCTTGAAAAACATATTGCAATGAATTATGCTATATATTGATAATTGGGGGGCTCACAATTGACCTTGCAGAAGGTAATTTGTAAGGTGTTTCTGATCACAAACTGATAAATCTTTTGAGATGGACAGCAAGCTCAGAAACCAATAAATCTGAAAAGTTATGAAAACCTAAAAACTGCTGCTCATCAACACCTTAATAATCATGAACCCCCCTAATTGCAATATATTGCAATCTTGTTGAAGCTTTCATTACATTCCTTTACTAATGCCTCTAGTTAATTGCTCATCTTTTAAGGTTCTGATTAGCAAAAATTGTTTTCCCCGCAGGCCCAATGACAACTGAAGCTATATGGTGGTAGGATTGGGACTTTAAATTTGCATTTCTTCCATTTTCTTCTCTTCTATTTTTTTGTTTTCTTTTTTCTTTCTTTCTTTCTTTTTTTGGTCTTTATTAATGTTTTATTTTTTCCAGGATAATGCTGATGTTATTTTCAGTGATTCTGTACACATTTTCATCTTGATTTGGGCTACCTGGTGCATATTTTTGGGCAGACAGGCTGACATTTCTGACCTGTTGCAAGGCATATGGCACAAGCAGTCTTGATATCATCATCATCATCATTCTCATACTTGCATGCACCTGGGTAATCCCCATCTTTGAAAACAGCAGTCACTTTGTCTCCAATGTTGACCTGGATTGAGGATGCCACTGGAACTAATACAGCTGCCAAGAGAGTTGCAGAAAGACTGAAACACTTCATGCTTGGCTCCAAAGGCTGTAGGGAAACAGCTATTATGATTTATGCAGGTGACTGGGATTGAACACAGGTATTGACAGCTGAACCACAATATGGAGTGTTGTTCCTTGCTGATGAGGTTATGTTGGGGGTGTCAGCAGTACTGCTTTTATCAATCATGTAGTTGTCAAGTCAAGCTTGTGTAACTCACTTGAACACAGTTTCTCTCCCCTCCTCCAAACCAGGAGAGAGCCTTGAAATCTCCATTTCACAGGAAAGCAGATGAGCTTTGGTGGTCCTCAATAGTGCTAGATACAATTCAATTCTTTTTTTGGGGGGAGAGGGGTGTTTCATTGGTTAAACCATGTGCAAAAACCTTGAATTATGAATTAATGATCTGTCATGTCAACAACACTGGGTATTGATACTGAAGAGGTTTTTGGACAAATACTAAATGGGTAGTATCAGGATTTGTAGAGAATTTTTCTTTACTATAATGTGCTTCCTCAACTTTTTTTTCTTTTTTCTTCACTGGTACAGTATCAGGTAAACAAATTTTTTTTATTGTTGGGGGGAGCTTGCCACAACCACAATAAGGCATTAAAACACATTTTCACCCCTGCTCATTTTTATAAGCAGGGGTAAAAATACATCAAAACCAATTTTTACCCCTGGTTATCAAGATAACTAGGGTTAAAACATGTTAAATAGGGCTCTCTAATATATCTGCTCATTGATAAAAGTTACTTTACTAGTAATGGTAAAGTGAATGAGATGATCAAAATAGCTTTACTCGACTGGAAGGGCAGATTCCTAGTAAAGTAAAGTCAAGACCCTGTGTTGATGTCAACCATCCACCACTGTCGTGGTTGTTGTATCAAAGCCTCTTCTATCTTTGCATGGGTTTGTGACTATGTACAATATTTCTAGCTTTCTTAAAGGGGGGCTCATGATCTGTCTCATCTTCATTACCTCATCAGGGGTCTTGAAGTTGGAGGAATGACTTTTGTGACCTGGGAAGGAAATTGTGACAGTGGTCCAGTGGACGTCTCTCAGGGTTTGGAAGTTGGAAATGTAAGTCCTGTGAGTTGTTTTCTCAATCTCCTTTTTGTAATGACCATCCTTCAATATCCCTTTATGTTGTAGGTGAGCCTGTGTGGGAGCAGTGCCCTTGTCAAGCCAATCATGCAAGTTAGCTTTGGGCCAAGCCAGTAGGAGAAAAAGTAAAGAAAAACAGAAGAGGGTGGCAGCTTGATTCAGGATTGGCAAAATGACCCCACATCAGATGTACTATCAGTCATATCAATGAGATTTGGTTGGAAGTCATGCTAATTATGCTTGGGCGGCAATGGAAATGGCCCTTGAAAAAAAAATCCTGTCTAGCCCCTCAGATGAAGGATCATCATTGGCAACAGGCAATTACACTCCTAATCAACACTCCTAATCAATAACATGACTGGTACCGGCACACACAATTTTTTGATGATAGTTTAAGGGGGGGGGGGGGCAAGGACAAGCTCTTGGTGGATTCCAAAGTTTTCAGATCAGATCATTCGTGATCAACCAAGTCAAATGGTACAAATCTGAGTCTGCCACCTCCCAATGCCTTCTTTGCACAAGAACTACATGCACACCTTGCCATCACCATCGTTTTATTCCCCCTGATGGATCTCTTGTCTGTGAGACGTTCCAGGCCAGAAAGGGGTTAAAATGGATGCCTCCAGCAAAGGCAGTCAGGGAGTGTGAGGGGTAAACCTAATCCACCATGTGATTAGGTTTGGGGCACATTGTATTTAGTTTGATGTTGTGCACGCTTCCATTTTTCTCTTTCCTGACTCATCTTTGGTTGCCTCCGACTGCACTTAACTAGATGTACAGTTGTCTATTTTTCTTTCTCTGATCTCGTCGCCCTCTTCGGACTTCTCCTCGTCCGCTTTATCTCACCGATGTGATCGCAATCCCAATCTCTATTTCCCCGTCGCCTTTTACGGCTAATGACACAGGCGGGTACCTTTTTTGTCAAGGAAGGAGATAGGAAAATGAATTATGTAATGTCAATGATTTCTACTAAAACAATTCTGTGGATCGATGGTTTAAAACTACATGTAGCACTGGAAGGAGCAGACAAAAGATGATAACAAAGCATGTTTAATGTTGATACAACACTACATACATAGTAGTTTGATTGTTGGAAATGGAGATCGATGAGGAATTTGTAAGTTTTCTTTGATTTGGAAAGAAGAATAAACGGGGGTGGGTAGGGAGCTTTGATTGCCGATTGTTAGATTTGCACATATAATAGCTAGTCTAAACAAGTGCGTTTAAGTTATCTTAACAAATTTTTCTATCAGCCGCCAACAGTTGTTCTACACAAGTCGAGTTGACATCGCAATTCAAGAAACAAAGATCTGAACGGATCACCAGGGAGAGGATGATCGATTCGGGAAGGGTCAGGAGCAAGAAAAAATGCTAAGAGCATCAAAGAGGAGTCGAACTCATGTAATAGTTCCTTGCTCCAACGCGAGATGTCTTGCATTTGGTGTTGAAGGTCCTCTTCATCTTCAGCACGGTAGGTGGTTCCCACAATTTTCAAAATAGAGGTACAAAATATACCCGTTTGAATTTTCAAACACGCCATATCATATGAACATATGCTAGTACTGAGCGTCAGTGGCGTCTTGCCTGTGGCGATGTTCAACAAGTTCCTGAAGAATATTCTACCTAACTTGAGAAGTGGCATAGTACGTCGGATATGTGGCAGCAGATCCAGGTTTAGACGTACTTCCTCCTGTGATGAGGTGGGGGAGTGAGTTTCAAAGTCAGATTGATCATCTCCGTCTCCGTCCGGGTTATTTCGTTGGTAGTCTGGGGGTACACCCCACGCTGGGTTCACCAGACGTCTGATTTCCTCTGAAAAGGTTTCGGAGACTGAGTCATCGTCATTTGAAGGTTGGAAGTCAGACCGATTTCCTGGGTTGTTTCTGCGTGCATCCTGTTCAGCTGATTCGGCTTCGCTTAATCTGACTGAGTAATCAATGTGCCGGGTTAAGTTGCTGAGACGGGCACTAAGAAGGTCGACATGTTCCTGCCACCACTGTCGGAGAATGCTAATATCGGATTGTTTGGACGATTGGATCATGACATCAATATTTCGGCAGGCTTCAACAGTGCGTGCAAATATTTCACCTCGGAGGGAATTTATATAATCATCATCTGGGGAGGTCAGACGACCTGGGTTGGAAACACAACGTTGGAAATAGACCCAATAAGTGTGAAACAAGTCGCGGGATACCTGGAATGTGAAGTGCACAAATTTCTGGAAAAGATCAATACACTTGTATCTCTTCAAGAGACCGTACTCATGGTCTATCTTGCAGGAAAGTTCAAGTGTACCCGATATGATAGCGGGAGCGAGGGAAGCGATAGAATTTTCGAGTAGATCGAGGGTGGGGCCGAGTTGATTGGCGAACTCGAGGGCATCAGTGAGTTTTGGTTTGTGCTCGTTTTCTGGAGTGTTCATGTCTAATGATTCCACTAAACCGGAGAGCTGCCGCCGCAATGCGGGTAGAGATCTGGTTTGCACTTGGACCAGGAGGGCTGTGCCGGCGTTAATTTTACGGCGCGAAAAGACCTTCTCGGAAATTTCCCGGACTGCGCCGCCACGTGTTAACTCAGGATGCGGAGCCCGCTGCAAATCGTTGATTGCTTTGAGGATAAGGCCTGTGAGGAAGTGAACCAGACCTGGGTCAGTTGGACTTCAGTGTAATCAGCACGGGATGGAATGCGTCTATTTACGTTTTGTTTCCATTGAGGCAGTGTCGGAATCCATCATGTTGATGCCTTTCTTATGTGGTCGATGGTGTGCTTCTTTTTCTTGGGTTGAATTTATGCTGTAAGGTGGGCTGGTGATGCTAGAAGAAATCTGTTTACGGTAGATACTGACTGAGTTAGGGTACCAGAGGACATTTGATTTATAAGTTAGTAAAGATGTGATTGTATTGTATAAATGAAGAAGGGGATATCACGATTGAGATATACTAACCTACTACAACTTGCTTCTTTTTATCTAGTGGGTGTGCAGGTGATTCACGTACTGTGGTGACTCCACCACGGCTAAGGTTATCAAATAAGAAATCTTCAAGGAGAAGATGCAGTGCAGTTGGATTTGGGGAGGCGCGACGGCTTTTGTTGTGGACCCATTTGAACCAGGCTTCGAGGAGGTTCCTGCTTATGAGGACAGTGAGAAAGAAGATGTGGAACTGGGAGGAGATGCAACGGGCGTGGTCCGCGTATAGTAAATAAATACCCTGAGGGCGAAAGTTCGAAACAAAGAGAAATATGTTGCGAAAGAAGCCCGACAGGGAACCTCATCCTATTCCGGCCAAGTAGTTCTCAGAGGAAGCTGGCCGGATGGACCCGGAAACAAGCACCACACAGCCATCCATTCGGTCCCTAGTATGTATCTAAAGAAGACACAAAGCTTCGGATAAGAGCTGATCTCCTTTTGTCGCGCATTGCTCTCTCTTGCAGATTTCCGGCGCTAGACTACATACACATTCAAGCGCATCCATCTTAATTATGCTCTCAACCTCTCAAGTCGCGTGGCTAACTGACATTGCCGTCGATCTGTCTCCATATATGCTCCATCAGTTGAGCTTCAACTTGGCCGCAAACAGCTCAAGTCCGAATTGAATGCATTGCAGCCTGCTGCAACCGACACACGTTCTGATCGGATCTCGGCCTTTTTTGTTCCATATGAAGCGAATAGCTGACTTGATGCGATGTCCGAAATAAAACCAGACTGAAGCATTACCCACTCCGGTCTTGTCGACCACACAGCAGAGCAAGTTGGGCGTTTTGGTGGCAGGGTCCATGGCACATCGGTGGTAGCACTGGATCCCGCAAGGTACCAGTCACCTCTGAGGTCGCCCGGCACCCCGACCGGAGGGTCTATCTTGAAGCCAGGGAGGCAAACTTGCTATAAGATGCACGGAGGCAAATGGGAGCTGGTCGGTACAGTCCCGTCACGGTTAGCTATCGGCACGGCAGATTCCGGTCTCCAATCTCGGTATAGATTACTTGATAAGAAGGTGAAAGACTAAACTAACCTGGTCGGTACAGTCCCGTCACGGTTAGCTATCGGCACGGCAGATTCCGGTCTCCAATCTCGGTGAGGAAAGAGAGAGGAGGCCGGAACCGGGACTGACCAGGCTATAAACTATGTACAAAGCATGATCTAGGTTAGGGTTATGACTATCACTAACTAGGTTAAACTCTTTCTAAGTACATAGTTTATGGTCTAACTACTTTGTAATCTTGTAACTTCCTTGATCTTCCAGCACTACACTAACACCCCCCCTCAAGATTACAACGATTACCCACCAACACCCAATTGATTTGCTGCTACTATCATTTTTGTCGGACCAAGCCTTTTTGTCAATACATCCGCCAGTTGACTTGATGCTGTTGACGTCCAGTTGACCTTAACTATCGTGCTCCCTAAT